AAAATAAGTCTTATGTATAAAAAGTGTCATATACAAGGAAAAAATTTTGAAAAAAGAAAGTCGAAAAGAAGGAAAAAAACAAGTCAAAAAAGAGTCTTGAGAGAAAATAAAAGTGGGGGAAAGAAAAATAAAAGTGAGAGAAAGACAAGAGTGGTAAAAAACATGATCAACAAGAAAATGCACTTACTTTTTCACGAGTTCCACTGTAGATATTCATTCATCTTTAAATGGGTGGCGTTATCATCTTGGAGGGTAGTAGCCTACATATTAAGGTGACTTCGTGAAATCCATTGTGGACATCATTTTATGCTAGGTTGCTACCTAAAATGTTTCTATGAGTGGTTGTGGTTGGAAACCGATGTTAGTGAGTGGAAAACCTTACGGGCTAGTAGCCGGTCCACGTGTCTTCTTGATGTAAAACTTTTGAATCAAAATGAAAGTGTGTATATTCCTTGGTTTTGTAAAAAGTTGTGTGTTTTATAAAATAAAAGGATTTAGAATCATTTTTAGTTTCAAAACAAGAGTGATTTATGGCATGTTGGCTTGAGATGAAAGTTAGGAGGTTTAGCTTGTGGAGTCCTTTTTGAGACGAATATGATTCATTTACTTAGAATCCTTGGATTGTTGCTCATTCATCTTTGTAGCATGTTGCTTGTTTTGGATTTTTTGTTGTTGTTTTTGCGCGAGGACAAGCAAATGGCTGAATTTGGGGGTGTGTTAGGGTTGACTTTTTGCTACAAAAATGTGACACGGTCCTAAACATAGCTCATCTGACCCATAAATGCAAATGAGTTGATAAATAGTTTTTAGGATTGTAACGACAAATAGAAATATGATTGTAGGTTACCTTAGCCTTTGCAGCAACTAAAAGTGGTTCGTGAAAGAGTAGAACTCATATTCCCAAGATTAGCTAAATTACGGCTGGCGCAATTTCCCCTAAGTTTGTATCTTCCATATTTTCCATCAAAGCTAAGGTAGGAAGCAGAGAGGTTGTCTTTTATAGAATTGCTTGATATTTGAAACCCCAAACAACAATTTTTGTCACCATTTTTTCATAAACCACAATTGCATTTTTTAATCATTTCATTTGATTTCTTGATTTTGAAAGCAAAAGTCCATGAGGATCTGACATTGGATTACTCCCAAGTATTACTTGTGACTATGTACAGTTGCACGTGGCTCTTATCTTTAAAGGTAGAGAAAGTCCCAACACCCTGGCCTCTTACCCTCCGAAGGCTTAGCCCCTCTCCCTTAGGTCCTAGGGGAAAAAATTGAGCTCAGCTCAACACCATACTTGGCCAACTTGGTCAAAGGACGCTTTCTCCTCACATTCTCTACATTAAAAGACAACATTGCCAGAAAAAGAGTTGGAAGTTAGAAAACAAACAAATGGAGTCTGTCGGTCATCAAGGTACTGATGTGCCAACCTTCTTCATTTTTCTTCCGAAAGTTAAGAAGAATTTTGACACTCTGCTCGGTCAGCTCAAGTATTGGTTTGGAGACACTACATAACGAATTAAGTTAGAATGCAAAACAAGAAGAAAACTCCCGGTTAGAGCAGATCGACCTAACCAAGATTCCCAAATCTACGAGGGACCTCAAAGTAAGGTTTGTCCAACTCATCCAAAGCGAGCAAATCCAGCATAAAACAATTTTTTGTTCCACTTCTTCATGAAGGAAGGACCATCGATGACAATAACTAAAATCTTGCGAGCACATAGGTAGAAATGATCACCTGTCCTGGGCACCCTTTTCACCTCGAAGCAAGCGAGCATCTTGTTAGTATTTAGAGGCACAGGGTCTTCCACTCCCTCACAACCTAACCACCAAATAATCATAAGTCGAAACGGGATACCCTAACCGTTCAGAACGACCTGAGCAGGGGTGAGATTCACCTTACTTAGGAATTCTTGGCCCATAGGATGTAGAGGCAGCCTAACGCCAAATTCAAAAATCATCATATAAAGAGTCACGCACCCCTCTTGTCGGTTATGCTTCGCCTTGCCCTCCTCGGGTAAATGGAGACCAATGGAAGCAAGGATGTTATATTGAATCCTAAGAGACTCTATGTGGGGTATAAGCATTTTTGAAAGGCCCCTCGCTTTCCCTCTTCGTATCCTGATGTACTCAACCCTGCCACAAGTGGCTTAGGAAACCCTTGTAAGAACAAACACCTCTGATACGAATCCATTTGTGACCAATTACATATATCAAAGGAGCAATTATTACAAGAAAGGCAAGGAAGATTCAAGAGGCTTTCACACTGCACCTTCAAAAAGCTTGTTAATGCACAAGAACCAACAAAGAGTTTTGAGCCCGAATTTATTCATAAGGTTACTTCAATGAGTCAAGAAGAGAATGAAGCAAAGATGACACGGGAAAAGTTGTCTATTTTGAGAGATGGCACGGAGGACAAAAAAAGTGTGCAGATTCGTGAACAGGTGCCTTTACAGATTGCACCTCTTTGGAGTTTGTGAAGTCAAAAGTTATCAAACCATATCCAAATGTGAAGCGCATCCTACAGCACATAGATAAGACCATTTGAAGCATGACTACGTTTTCTGATCCGCATTTAAGTGTCTAGAATGATGTGCAATCAAGTTTTAATTTGCATGTCTTATTTTCTACAATTTGCATTAAGTAGTATTTTGAAAAACTTTTGGTGTTCTTATGTTGAACGACCATTTGGCCTATTT